TAGGAAACTAAAAAGTTTGTGTGACTCACTTTGTTGCCATGGTCTGGAGACAAATCTGCAGTATCTCCAAGGTATGCCTGTGATTTCCCCTTCCCTCTTCTTGCTGGCCCAGAATGACCTTGTTTCTTGCCCCTGTCTAGCCCTGCATGCTGTAGGGGTTTGCCTTCTCTGGTAGGTCTGGGCACTTTGTATCCCTTGTAACTTTGGCTCCTGGGATATGACACTGGTACAGGCCTCAAGTTCTGTTGGACTAGTGAGCCTCCCCTCATACCTCCTGAACTAGAACCAAAGTCCTGTGCACACACCGTGCATGTGTGAGTCTGTGTAGAGATGTCAGCTTCCTGCAGGGTGTTCTGAAGGGGTGTCCTGTTGTTACTGGAGGGCATAGCCACAGGCCCAGAAGCAGGGGTGGCTCAGAGAGGAGTGGCTGGTCCCAATTTTGATCATCTAGGAAGAGGAAGGTCCTTAGAAAACCATGCCCCAGGCCAGGCGCGGTGGCTCAAGCTTGTAATCCCAGCACTTTGGGAGGCCGAGACGGGTGGATCACCAGGTCAGGAGATCGAGACCATCCTGGCTAACACGGTGAAACCCCGTCTCTACTAAAAAAATACAAAAAACTAGCCGGGCGAGGTGGCGGGCGCCTGTAGTCCCAGCTACTCCGGAGGCTGAGGCAGGAGAATGGCATGAACCCAGGAGGCGGAGCTTGCAGTGAGCCGAGATCCGGCCACTGCACTCTAGCCTGGGCGACAGAGTGAGACTCCGTCTCAAAAAAAAAAAAAAAAAAAAAAAAAGAAAACCATGCCCCAGAAGGCAGGATTGCTGGAGAGTGGACAGCTACTAGCCAGCTTACTATCTGGATATCACTCTGCACTGGGAGGGAAGATGGCCTCTGCCGTGGTGTAGGAGTCCAGGAACCAGGCTGGGAGGCCTTCCCAGCAGTCAGCGCTTCTCACAGTTGCAGGCCAAAGCACCTTTAGATGAGGCCAAAGACTTTACATTCCTCATTAGCTGACTTTTTCCCACTTAAGTGGGAAAAGAACCCAGAACCTTTGTGAAAGTTTTAGGGGAGAAGGACTTTCCCTCTTGTATCTTAGTGATAAGGTAATGCATGATTTATACTTTAATTGCAATGTGCACACATCTAAAGTCTTAATTATTAGAATATAAGAGCCCCAAACTACTGTTGTTACAGATAAGTGAAACTATGCAGTATATGGTTAAACAATCCACAACCAATTAACATTGAAAATTGGCCGGGCACGGTTGGCTCACGCCTGTAATCCTAGCACTTTGGGAGGCCAAGGCAGGTGGATCACTTAAGGTCAGGAGTTCAAGACTAGCCTGGCAAACATGGTGAAACCCCGTCTCTAGTAAAAATACAAAAAATTAGCTAAGCATGATGGTAGCTGCCTGTAATCCCAGCTACTCAGGAGGCTGAGGCTGGAGAATTGCTTGAACCTGGGAGGTTGCAGTGAGCTGAGATCGTGCAATTGCACTCCAGCCTGGGTGACAGAGCAAGACTCTATCTCAAAAAAAAAAAAAAAAAAAAAAGGAAAAAAAAAGAAAATTAACTACATTTTGGGGGGGTGGACAGAGCGATGCTCCGTCACCCAGGCTGGAGTGCAATGTCACAATCTCTGCTTACTGTAACCTCCACCTGCCGAGTTCAAGCAACTCTCATGCCTCAGCCTCCCAAGAAGCTGGGATTACAGGCATGTGCCACTATGTGGAGCTAATTTTTATATTTTTAGTACAGACTGGATTTCACCATGTTGGCCAGGCTGGTCTTGAACTCCTGGCCTAAAGTGATCCGCCTGCCTCAGCCTCCCAAAGTGCTGGGATTACAGGCATGAACCACTGCACCTGGCCGTATATCTGTTAATTTAAAAGATTAGCAGCCATTTAGAAAAAAACAACAAATGAGACTTTTGCAAGACAATCTAAATGATACACTAATAATGATCCTTTGGGAAAATGACATTTCAATCATGTGAGTTTCTGCTTTAGGTTATGAACTCCAAAATGGACTAAATGGACTAACCCTCAATAATTTATAGTAGGTAGTTTTTGTGTGTGTGTGTGTGTGTGTGTGTGTTTTAACAGTAGGTAGTTCTAAGCCATAAATAAAATAGAATCTGAATTTTGGTTTTGTTCTTTTGTGGGAACTTAATTGAGAAAGCCTTTGGGTCAGTTCAAATATAGTGGATGAGGCCAGGCTTAGTGGCTCACGCCTGTAATCTCAGCACTTTGGGAGGCCGAGGCGGGGGATCACGAGGTTGAGAGATTGAGACCATCCTGGCCAACATGGTGAAACCCCGTCTCTACTAAAAATACAAAAATTAGCTGGGCATGGTGGTGCATGCCTGTAGTCCCAGCTACTTGGGAGGCTGAGGCAGGAGAATCACTTGAACCCGGGAGCCAGAGGTTGCAGTGAGCTGAAATCAGGCCACTGCACTCCAACCTGGTGACAGAGTGAGACTCCGTCTCAAAAAAAAACCAAAAAATAGCTGGGTGTGGTGGCTCACGCCTGTAATCCCAGCACTTTGGGAGGCCGAGGCGGGCGGATCATGAGGTCAGGAGATTGAAACCATCCTGGCTAATAAGGTGAAACCCTGTCTGTACTAAAAATACAAAAAATTAGTTAGGCGTGGCGGGCGCCTGTAGTCCCAGCTACTCGGGAGGCTGAGGCAGAAGAGTGGCGTGAACCCGGGAGGCGGAGCTTGCAGTGAGCCGAGATCCTGCCACTGCACTCCAGCCTGGGCGACAGAGACTCCATCTCAAAAAAAAAAAAAAAAAAAAAGAAAAAAGAAAAAAGAAAAAAAAGTAGAGTAAAAGTAAATAATCAGTACTAAGTTCTTCCTCTTGATGGAAGAATACAATGGAGTGCCATAAAGTATTCAAGAAGAAAATCATGTCTGCCTATAAGCAAATATCTGCAGCCAAGTACCAATTTATAGAAAGTACAGATAAAACAGGTCCATATTAAACTATGCCTTGGGATGGAGACAGCAAAATGCAAACTATGGAAAACTCAACCAGGACAATATAAATTTCAAGGAGGAGCATAGAGAGAAAAAGAGAACAGGCCAGGCTGCGGTTGCTCACGCCTGTAATCCCAGCCCTTTGGGAGGCCGAGGCAGGCAGATCATGAGGTCAGGAGATTGAGACCATCCTGGCTAACACGGTGAAACCCCGTTTCTACTAAAAATACAAAAAAATTAGCTGGGCATGGTGGCACGCGCCTGTAGTCCCAGATTCTTGGGAGGCTGAGGCAGGCGAATTGCTTGAATCCAGGAGGCGGAGGTTGCAGTGAGCGGAGATCGCGCCACTGCACTCCAGCCTGGGTGACAGATTGAGACTCCGTCTTAAAAAAAAAAAAAAGAAAAAAAAGAGAACAAAATTTATATATCCCAAGGTAAAACTAAACTACAATTTCAGATGATGAAAATATAAAATAGAACAAAGAAGTGATGATCATAAAGGTCAGGCTGTGGTTTTATGCAGAGGAGGGAAGCCTTTATCACTGAGTTGGGGCAGATGATGGGGTTTCTGGGCTGGTTGACAAACTTCTGTATCTCTGGTGGTTGAAGGGTGTTTATCTTTTATTATTATTATTAAAGGGAACATTTTCAGACAGTTTTTCTTTTTGGGTAACTTTTATTTTATGACAAAAAGCTAATGAAGAATAAAATAATTTATAGGTCATGATTACTGTTTTGCACAAAGCCTACTCTCCACGCCCCTCTGCAGACACTGAGTTCCCAAAACAAGTGGCAGCCCCAGGACCCCCTGGTAGGGCCACCTCACTTCCGAGTGTGTTCATGTCACTGAAGGCAGTGTCCCAGGTCTATTCCTTGATGCCTGGAAGAATCTGATAGGACACAGTTGAGGGGAAGCCTTCTCTGTCACCTGCAGGTTCTTGGCTGTCACTGTAGAGGGAGCGGGTCCTCACCTCTCCCACAGGCCGGATCACAGCCAGAACCTCCTCTCCGCATGGGGAGTGAGGCTTGGTCCTTTCCCTGAACACAGTGACAAAGATCTCTGTGTCATCACAAGAAGGCTCCAGCTCTTCAGAGCAGATGTTCCCCCACAAGGTCAGCCCCTGAATGAATGTTGGTGACAGATGTCCCACCTCCATCCCTTCCCAGTCCTTTCTGTTCTGCTATGAATCTGTCAGTCATTGGAACTAGCAGGGAAAGGGAAAGAGGAGGGGAGATTGCTTTGATGCTGGCTCAGGGCATTGAGACAGGCCTCTTCTTCTTCTCTCTGAACCTCACACTTCATCCGCTCCCAGATGCATGAAATAAAACAAAGACCAGAAATGTCTATTTAAAGAGTAAACATCTATGGTATAAAATTATGCACATATAATATTAGACACAGAGTAATGCATAACAGTGTGACGGGGCGAGGGGACCTCAAGGTGACAAGAAAGCTGGTCCGGAGTCATCACCAAGATACTCACAAAGCTTACCTATGATAACCTAATTACTACACATGTAATAAATTAAAATATATTAAAACGTAAGAAAATAGGACAGGCACGGTGGCTAATATAATAAAATATATTAAAATACAATAAAATAGGCCAGGCATGGTGGCTCATGCTTGTAATCCCAGCACTTTGGGAGGCTGAAGCAGGTGCATCACCTGAGGTCAGAAGTTTGAGACTAGGCTGGCCAATTTGGCGAAACCCCGTCTCTACAAAAAATACAAAAATTAGCTGAGTGTGGTGGTGCCTGTCTGTAATCCCAGCTATTTGGGAGGCTGAGGTATGAGAACTGCTTGAACCTGGGAGGCAAAGGTTGCAGTGAGCTGAGATCAAGTCAGTGAACTGCAGTCTGGGTGACAGAGTGAGACTCCGTCTCAAAAAAAAAAAAACCCAAAAAAACAAAACACACACACACACACCAGAAATAATGATACCGATTAATATGGCACTGTTAAGGGCCCCACAACCCTGTACTGGACTGAACGAAGGATGAACGTGGGAATAAAGATAAAAGAGTATATTTGGAACAAGGGGTCAGGGGGCTCCTTGCTTCTCGTGAACAAGGGCTCTCTGATCTTCCATAGCCCTTCGTATTTATTGGTATAGATGATAGCGAGAAGAGGGGTGGAAGAAGTCAGCTGCTGGGTCCGGAGTAGGCTTGCAAGACTGCATTCCTCGAACAATAGGCTCTAGATGACCCAGTAGATAACCTCAATGAGCACCATGGAGTGATTGTCCTCAGCAAACCTTCTGTCCGCAGGAGGCAGGAGCAGTCCTGAGTTTGCCCACATCCTGCATTCATGATAAGCGGTTTGCTGTTTGATCATATAGCCTCCAAAGGAATGTTGAGTTGGTCATGATCTCTTTGCTGCTCTCTATATGGCAGAGATGCAAACACCTCATATCCACTAACACTTTGCAGCATCCAACAACAATAAATAAGTGCTGATATTTTCTCTGTTTCATAGGTCAGGAAACAGAGGGAAAGTGCTGGTGAGATCCAGGCAGGGAGTTGAATCCCGGCCGCCTGTCTGTAGAGTCTAGGCACCCTCAGTGGAGCCAGTGGACCCAGGAGCTGACATCAGAGGCTGAAATCCGAGCTGTGTGGCATCCCTGTGGTCTCCCGTCCCAACCGGGTGTTGATCCAGGGTCTGCAGGCTCACGAGCTCTGGAGAAAAGAGGGAAACGGGTAAATGCTCCACATGGGTGCAGTGTTCTGTTTTATTCCCCTGAGGACTTTTCTCTCTTCTCAAAACCAGATTCACCCTTTCTCTGGGGAAGATGGGGCCCCCACTTTTTTTCTTCCTCCCTCCCTGCTTTTCCCAGCTCCTGCCAGTTCCCTCCCATCACTCCATCAACATCAGCCCCTGCCCTTGCCCACCACCCATCGTACGGAGTGGGCCACAAGACTAAAGGACAAGACCCAGAGGAACCTTTGCCCCTCCTCTCAGACCACAATGATCCTGTTGCAGCTGAGGCCTCCCCAAAGAGAGGCCCTGACCCTTGCTCTCAGTCCCCAGGCCCTGCTCTCCTGCAGAGGCACCTGCACACCAGCGCAGGCCCCGCCCACTGTGGGCTCTGCCCTCTATCTGCAGCTCCAGTGCTCCTCCCCTCCCAGCCCTGAGCAGGCTCTAACTAGAACCCCATCAGGAAGGCTGGGGGCCCAGCAGGCCAACATGGAAAGATGTGGCTGCCAGAGGATCTGCACCTGGCGTGACCCTGGGAACCCCACCCCTTCTTTCGAGAAGGCCTGGCCTCTCCTGACCCTCAGCACCCACCGAGGCCTGTGACCTGCTCTTGAGTCACCACTGCTCCTGCCCAGGCCACTTGCCCCTGGAAACGCAGCTCCACCCCAGGGCTGCTTAGCCGGGTGAGCTGCGAGGCCTTCCTGCTCTGTCCTTAGCAGGGATTCCACCTGAGCCACTGCCCTTGCAACCTACAAGAGCATTTTCTCCATGTGGGTGAAGTCCCCTTAGCCTGAGGCTGCCTCTGCCCAGGTTCCCAGTGGCACCTGGGAACTGCCACTGCCACAGCCACCATCTCCCCACAGATTCTCCTGGAAGGGGGCAAATTTAAAGGGAGTTCTGTTTTATTTAATATGCTTTACAACAGCAGTATTAGAGGAAATCCTATTAAGATTATAGAGCTGAAATTATGAACATTTTTATTGGACATCAACATTGAAAGCAGGAATTTTGGAGCAACTGTACGTGAATTTCATACCCTTTTCCTGGCAAAAGCCCATTGACCTCTCTGAGGAAACCATTCCTGCCCACAGGGAAGTAGGGCAAGCAATTCCTCACAGGAGACACCACAGGTGAGAGCAGGAGCGACCACAGACCTGCACTGCCCCTGCTGTGGGTGCCTCCTGGATGGGGCCCTCTTGCTGTAGGGCAGGGCCTTGAATCTTCCCATCTGCTCAGGCCACAAGGGGCCAACTGATAGTACAATTAGGTTCAAGGATGAGAAACCAGGCGCCCCTACTGCCAGACACACAGAAGTGGGAAATGACAGAGACTCAAGGTCTCCTGGACACCAGCCTCTCATTTATCCCCTGCATAGCCTGTTTTTGTAGAAACACAAAACTTCCTGCTGTCTCTTTTCATCTCCCATCAAACAACCTGACTGGGAGGAAAGATTCTGGCAAATCCCCTTACTTAAAATTTACCAGGCAGTGACTACCTTAAGAAGCGAAATTGGCTCCAGGAGGGCAAGGTGAGGCCACAGAGCACAGAACAAAGCCCCCAAAGATGGCGCCTGGGACTGTGTCCTCAGGGACTGGAACAAAACACTTGGAGGTGGGATGAAAACAGGGTTACAGCTGCCCTGATGAGGGGCTGGGCCCCGCTCCTCAAATGGTCCAGGAACATCTGCTTATCTACTCATCATGTCATCTGCAGGGAAACTCTGGGAGGCCAGGTGGTGGGAACCTGGAGAAGTGCCTCCTGGAGGCTGGGGAGGCACCCAGCTCTCCTTGGGTTCTTCTCAGTTTCTGGCCCTCCCCAGATCACAGCTTCTTTACTGTTGCTCCCCTCTGGAGGCCATGATCATCCATCAGCATGGGATTCCCAACTCACCCCACCTGGGCCACCCTCGTGAGCCTGGGAGACAGAGAGGCCGGGACGGGGACAGAGCAGGCCTTTGCAGCCCTCCCCTGCTGCCCACTCCACCTGCAGCAGGCCACAGCTGGACGTTGAGGGCCTTTCCCCAGTCCTGGCTTGAGACTTATAGGTGTAGATGGGAATGTAGCTCCCATTCCCCTCCCAAATGCCCCAACTTCCACCCCTATTCCAGCCTTATCACCTACATCCTATCCAGAACAGTAGGGGACCCTGCTGCCCAGAGAGGAGCCTTGTCATCTCCAGAAACTGCCTCCTTTTCTCACCTGGATCCTCTGCCGCTGATGTTTTCTTCTTCTTGCAACAATGGACACAGATAATAATAAATGCCGTAACAACAACCCAGCAACAACAACAACAACTTAAGAACATATAGAAGGTTAGCACTTTCCTCTGAAGCACCGACTTCCCCTGAGGAGACTTGTTATACACTGGGCAGAGAACTACAGCCGTCCCTGTTGTCCCTACCCTGGCCTGACCCTCTCCAGGGTCACCCCAGGCTCACCAGAGGCACAGGGTGAGGTGCTGTGATTCCGCTTTGTGTTCCATGTAGCAGGCGGAGCCTCCGCTCCTCGCCTTGGCGAATCCTGGTGGCCACCCAGGTCTGGTAGGTTCCATTCCAATCAGGCAGGACATCCCCCCACTGCTGGGCGTCGTGGCTCAAAGATACTCCATCCAGCCAGGTCAGTGTGATATTCCCCGAGATAGAAGCGAAGCCCTGCATGTCGCGGTGATGTTGCCCTCTGAGGCCTACGCCCGTGGTGGCGTTCACCATGGGGGCACTGGAGAAGAAGGAGCAAGAGCCAGTGAAACCTACTCCCCCTGAGGAGATCACGCGGGAACAGGTCTGCTCCTCTCCACTGTTCCCACTCTGGCTGAATCCTCACGAGATCCCGGACCTTCTGTAAGTCTGTCCTCAACCTGTAGCCCAAATTACTCCAGGCTAGCGGGAGGATGGGCGGCCTTGGGACTGTGGCCTCGGGCTCTGGGATCCCACGATGCTGAGAGAGGGATGTCAAGGTGGACTCCTGGAGTCGTGGGGCCAGGAGGGAACTCAGGATGGGCAGGCTGGGAGGCAGAGGAGCAGCCTGGCCCTGAGGGCTTCCCTCTCCTGCCTAACTCTCACCCCCAGGCTGAAACTACAGCCATGGGGGCCACTTCGCTTCCCAGATTACAACACTGGATGGTTCAGTCCCTGACCCACTGTCTTTATCCAGTGTCTCTAACGATAGAGGAAAATCAGGACACAATATGCCAACAGGAAATGCTTGCATCCACTTAGCACAGGAAGGGTTTCCCTGGACAGGCTGGGAGGTGGAGGCAACTCTAGCAGAGGTGGAGGAGGAGCCCTGGCCAAGGGTTAATTTTCCTGTTCTCTGGCCAAATACCCCAGTTCTAGATATCGCCGTAGTTTCTTCAGACAGTCTGCCATATGGCGATAGTGTCTTAGTCTTCATGGTATCTTCCTTCCAGAAATTCATAGCCAAGGTCCCCAGGCTCTGGAGGACTGGGCCACTGTCCATTTCTGAGTCTCAGGTTTAAGAGAGGAAGCGCTCGCCATCATTAGTAGAAATGCCAGAAGCACCCGGTGCTGTTGTCTTCATAGATCTCACAGATCTTAATCTTCTGGAGGAATGCAAACCTGCCCCACCCAGCAGTGACTTCTCCGTTCCGAAACCGTCACCTTTCCTCAGGTGAGGAACTCAGCCCAGCAGGAGGACACCTCCCTGGCCCTCCTCCATGCCTCCTGTGGTGGGCTGAGTGCAGCTACCCTGCTGAGCTCCCCTGACCTACTCCTCACCCCCACCCCCAGCCAGAACCAGCAGGAAGAGACGGCTCCTGCTCTCTGCCTCCAACACCCTGGAGAAGGCCTCCCATTACTCCACCTCCACCCGCACTCACCTCCTTTCTGGCCCTCAATATGAGTCAGGGGGTCCTCCTGAGGTCTCGCATTCTCTGTCAAGTCCTCGGTCTCTTGGTCTCCCAGGACTGCTTCTGCCCTCATCCCTGAGGCCTTGCCTGCGCATCTCCCTGTCATAGCGCACGAAGAAGCTGACATCTAGATGTCCCTCAGCGAGAAACTCTGACTGCACAGATCCATCCGGGACAGCACCGTGACGTTTATACTTGAAGACTGTGGAGCTCTGGGGAAGAGGAAATCACAGATGAAACTTCTTCCTGGGAGAGTAATTTCACGTCGATGTTGCCACACAGCTCTGCTGTCCCAAGCTCTGAGGCCCAGGGAAATGCACACGGGCAAAGGGGACAAGAGCAGGGATTTCAGATACAAGAGGAAAACTGTGAGGGTGGGGGGACAGAGGGAGGACTGACGAACAGAAGAAGGGGGAATGGAGATGGCAAACTTGTAGGCCAGGTGCCCAGGACTGGGTGGCCACAAGCCTAAAGAGGCTAGGGGCCATGGGGTGAGCTGCCCTGAAGGGGGCAAGGGGAAGGCAGTGGTGGAAGGAAGGTCTTACTGAGGGGATGGTGGGAATGGGAAGGGACTCAGGCTCAGGGCGACCCATGTCCAGTGTGGCTGTGGTGCACGGAGTGAGGGTGAGATGTTGAGAGCAGAGGAGCTGCCTGAGAAAAAGACTCATTATGGGCATGGCGGGGACAAGGGGAGGTGGTCATGAGGCACAAGAGAGTAGGAAGGTTACTTGTAGCCCCAGGAAGCTTATAGTGGGGTCAGTATCCCAGAGGAGCAATGGAGTGTGGGCTTGGGTCCAAAGTGGAGAGTAGCATGACAAGGCCCCAGGACAGCAATTGGACCAGCTAGTGTCCACTGGGGTATGAGCCCAGGTGACAGGTCTCAAAGTCAGTCCCATCTTTTCAGCAAATAGTGTTAGGCACTGGATGTTCAAATAAAATAAAATTGGACCCTTAATTTGTACTATATACAAAAATTAACTCAAAATGAATCAAAGACCTAAACTCTATACTCAAGAACTAAAACTTAAAAATATCTTAGAAAAAAACATTGGGGATAATTTTTCAGTACGCGATTTGACAGTGCTTTCATGGATATGGCGGCAAGGCACAGATAGAA